ATTATAAATATTGGTGAGATTTCTTGTGTTTTTTAATGATACAATAACTTTATAATATTATGATTATTTTTAATAAGTTAATAATTACTTGTAGGGATGCGTATGAACGTCATGTTGTTGACCAACAATTAGCAGAGATAGTATTGCAACATGCATCTGCTGCTAGATGGATTGGAGCCATCCCCAAAGAAAAAATGGTCACGTGCATATGACGTTGAAGGTCGACGTTATGGACACATGACAACTAACCTTGCAGAGTGCATGAATGGTGTATTCAAAGGTGCTCGAAGTCTACCCATAACTGGTTTAGTTAAAGCGACCATGTATAGAGTTAACAACTATTTTGTAAAGCGTGCCCAACAAGTTCATGCGCAATTGCAGCTGGTCAAGTGTTTTCTGAGACACTAACAAAGAAGTTAGACATAGTAACACAAGGTGCATCTGGATGTGTTGTTCGAGAGTTTGATAGAATATCAACATCATTTGAGGTTATCGAGCCATACAATATTCAACTTCGTCAATTTCGTCGTTGTTGCAAGGTTAACTTGATTGATAGAAAATGTGATTGTGGAGAATTTCAAGCAGAAAAGTTTCCATGTATGCATGCTGTTGCAGCTTGCTCACAAGTAGGCATTAACCATTTGCAATATGTTGATCCTGTTTTTAGGTTAGAAACCATGCAAATGGCTTACAGTAACAACTTTCATCCAATAGGAGATGAGACTTACTGGCCGCAAATTGATTGCCCTACTCTAATACCTGATCCATCAATGATTAGAGATAAAGGCCGTCCTCGTTCAAGTCGCATACGTAATGAGATGGATTGGACCACACCCAACCCACCCAACAAATGTGGATTATGTAGACAAATTGGTCATAATCGCTCTACTTGTCCTCAAAGAGTGGCATCCAGACAATAAATTATGTATTTTGCTTATGTAAAAAGAAAATTATACATATGAAGATGAAATGTAAATGGTTTTTGTAATTTTTTATATTATGTGAATATTTATTTGTTATGTTGTGTTTAGATATTTGAAAATGGCACAATATCCAGAAGAAGTCATTAACCCTGGTCCAGAGGATAACTCACTTCTGTACTTACAAACTCAACATATTTCGCAACAAGTTTGGAATGAAAATGTAAGTAATCTCTCTTAACTACTACTTATTAATTCTATGCTTTAATACTAACTTTTTTTAAAAAATTTTCTCTATAGGTTTCTCGAATCCTACACACTAGACGAGTCATGCATGCTAATCGAATGATTGAGCCACCCAATCAGATACTTGAATATCTTAGATTAGCTGGATTTTATGGTGTTGCGAGGGTAGGGCAATTTGATTACGACCGGAGTTTGGTCTCAGCCCTTATTGAGAGGTGGCGTCCTGAGACTCACACATTTCATACTACACGTGGAGAGTGCACAATAACATTAGAGGATGTTGCTATACAGTTAGGCCTTCCTTGTGTAGGAATGCCTGTCATTGGGAAAACTGACTTTAATTGGCAAGATGTTTGTGAATGGCTTCTAGGGGTTAGACCACCTGCAGATAGAATACTTGGACAACGACTACTTATGAATTGGTTGGAAGAGCACTTTAATCACTTACCTGATGATGCAGACGATGTACAAGTTCAACAATTCACTCGTGCATATATTCTCAGGTTGATTGGAGGATATCTCATGCCAGATAGATCGTGTACTAGGGTGTATTTGATGTACCTTCCACTACTTTATAATCTGGAAGAAGTTGGAAATTTTAGTTGGGGTTCAGCAGTTTTAGCTCACCTGTATAGAGAATTATGTAATGCTACTAATCCAACTGAAGATGGGATTGGAGGGTGCTTATCATTATTACATTTATGGGCATGGGATCGTTTTCCTACGCTAGCACCACACAACAACCTGTATCTCCAGATCCACAGTCTAATATCTACCCTCTCTTACCTCCTTTGGTTTCAGGTATGCCAAAATCACACAACAAATATTTCATATGTACTTATTATTGAAATTTTACAAATTTTAACACTACTTTTTTGGGTTGTTGATAATGCTAGATGGAAAAATGTAGGACAAAATCCTCGTCCAAGTGTCACATCCTTACGCCAATATAGGAGTCTTCTTGATAGAATGACGGATGATGACATAATTTGGCAGCCATATGAATCTTCTGAAGTGCGCCAATTGATTCCAGAATACTGCTTGGCAACACCTGAAATTTGGCTTGCTTCAGTTCCTCTAATATGTTTTCATATTATAGAATGGCATCACCCTGATCGTGTACTAAGGCAATTCGGTCGTCAACAACCTATTCCTGTCATGCCTGTTCATTTAGGAAATTACCATACAATACAACTACGTGGCAGAATAAGCACAAATTGGACTGAAGAATACTCAAACTTCATTGAAGCATGGAATAGATGGCCACACGCTGTTGTTGATGCTCCTCTGGCACTTGGTGAACTTGATCGAACATCTGAGTACATGCAATGGTATTGGAGACATACAAGACGATGGATCCAACGTGTTAGTGGTGATACTGGCTATGTGGTAAGGTTTTTTTTAGTTTTTTCTGATCAATATCATCATTTTCTTTTATACGAAAATTTTTTCAAACCTAATGTTTTATTTATTTCAGGCTGACATAGCAGAACAGTTATATAGGCTAACAATTAATTCTCGTTCAACATGCTCTGATTGCATTGATTATCGAGAAAGAGTTGCTCGAGACCAGCGTAACATCTTACTTGCAGTTAGAGAACAACGGTTTAATATGAATTCTCAACCAGCTCCACCACCAGTTGAGCTACCCCGTCCACAAATTCCTCGAGATAGACCAAGCAAACGGCGAGGCGGTTACTTGTCTACTCAGCCACCAATTGTAAATGAAAATTTAAATGAACAAGAGCCTCAAAATTTTAGTCATTTTGATAACATACCAGTCTCATCAAGCCCTATCGCCTCTTCCAATCCAACTCATTTTTACCCTCATCACATGCCATCATCACCAACATTATCCCATTCTGACTCACCCAATCCTCCTCAATTTCAGTCATTCATGTCCTTATTTGATAATCCTGCATTATTATCGATCAATATAACACTTCTTCTTTTGAGCAAGGTGGTCCATCAAATGAAGCATTTGTCACCCCTCGACAATCAATTTCTTTAGCCGAATCACCTTGGTTTGATTTAAATACGTCAACTGCGCAGACAAATGAGACATTAGATCAAACTCAAGAAGTAAATATACAACAACGGCCACAGCGTGCGCGGAGGAGACCAAGATGTGGCACGGGGAGTCATTATTTGTGAGGTAAATTAATTCTTATTTTTGTTCATGTCAATTTAATTGTTATTTGTTATTAATTTTATAACATTTAATCATTACTTATTTTCTTTAATCACTTTTTAATTAATAGAATATTAATTATTACTATTATCATTATATAATTATTAACTCATTATTCTAATGATATGACCATTATTAACATCACTGTAGGAATATTTATGTGGTGAGAGATTGTGAAGAAGTTGTTCAGATGCTGGTGAAATTTAAAAGTTGTTCACACTAAGATGAATTTCAGCTAGACGGAAGAAAAGGTTTATTGGAGGAATTACTCTTACTGAGATGAATTTTAAACGTTGTTCAGGCCAAGATGAAGTTCAGCTGCATGGGAACCAATGTTTATTGAAGAAATTGCTCTTATTAAGATGAACTTTTAAAGTTGTTTAAACTAAGAACAACTTTGAGTGTAGTATTTGGGGAAATAATTCCCACTATGTAGTATTTGAAGAATTTTTTTTCCCTATTTGCAACGTTTTGCTAAAAATTCCCTAAGTAACACAAAGCTGGGTTTGATTGCAAAACCCAAAACATGCAAAACAAAAGCCCCTTTCACTCCGTTAAGTGAGGAGAAGGCTTATGATGAGTGGGAATACATTATTAGCTTTCGACTAGAAATTAAGGATCAAATAAAATGTGAATCTGATGGATTTTTTTCTAAAAATTCTTGGAGGAGATTATCATATTTCTACAATTCAATTAGATGTGAAATCTAGAAATTTCCTCAATATACTATTTATTTTTAATAAATCTATATTAATAAATCTAATTAATATTAATTAATTATTAATTAAATAGAATTAATTAAATATAAATAATATTAAATAAATAATAAAATATTCTATTTATAATTTTAGAATTTTAGTTATAATTTTGGAATAATTAAATAAAAAGAATGCCGAATGCCTTACATAAGTAGAATTCATACTATACACTCACATGCAAAAACAAAGTATTCACGCATGAGAGACAAGGAATGACTACTCTATATTGATGGGAATATTTGGGAAGGGAAGAAACACTTTGCATGGGGCTGGAAAAGGCAGAAACAAAATACGAAAGCTGAAAACGCATGGAGTGTAAGACAAATAGTGGGTCCCACTGAAGTTGTTCAGACCAAGAACAACTTCCATTTTGTGATGTGGGTCCCACTGAAGTTGTTCAGACCAAGAACAACTTTCATATTTTGGATGTGGGTCCCACTGAAGTCGTTTTTAGTCTGAACAACTTCTGTATAAATTTAAACTCGTTCACTGCCTGAACGATTTTAAGTGTAGTATCTGAGTAAATATTTTTGATCTTATAGCATCTGAGTAAATACTTTTACTGTTTGTCGTGTCTTGATAAAAAAGCCACGCATGGAATGTAAGACAAAAAGTGGGTCCCACTGAAGTTGTTCAGACCAAGAACAACTTCTATTTTGTGATGTGGGCCCCACTGAAGTTGTTCAGACCAAGAACAACTTTCATATTTTGGATGTGGGTCCCACTGAAGTCGTTTTTGGCCTGAACAACTTCTGTATAAATTTAAACTCGTTCACTGCCTGAACGATTTTAAGTGTAGTATCTGGGTAAATATTTTTGATCTTATAGCATCTGAGTAAATACTTTTACTGTTTGTCGTGTCTGGATAAAAAAGCCTACCTGTCACCTTAAAAGAAATCTCACCTTCTCTGAAAAGTTGAAAATAAAATATCACTATGTGATTCTATTTATAAGATAAAGAAAGTAGTATTTTTTCCTAATACAAGTCACCTCATTAAATTTCTTATATAAACATTTAATTTCACCTCTAATTTATTATTTTTCTCGTTTTATTAGACTCCTTATTAGAGTGTATATCTTAAATATAGACAAAATTGAAAAATTATTAAATTTTAATAAAGAGTTAACAAGATTTAAAGTTTTTTTAAGTTATGATAAAACACATTAGAAGTGTTTTATGAATAGAATTAGGGAAAACCATATTGAAGGTACCTATACTTTTTTTCAATTTTCAATTTGGTACCTATGTGTTTTTGTTCTTAACTAAATCTTTATTTTTCCTCTATTAACATCATTAATCCTTATGTAGAGACTAAAAATATCAATAGAACAAAGTTATAAGAGCTAATGTTGCTAAAAAGATAAAATTAAATGTTTAATTAAAGGGAAAAAAACACATAGGTACCAAATTAAAAATGAAAAGAAAGTATAGGTACCTTCAATATAGTTTTCCATAGAATTAAAGGAGTGACATTTATATAAGAAGTGGGCCGGCGGCATATTCTTCATAAACAACTACATTAGCTAGCTGGGCAATTATGGTTCCATTAAGTAATAAGTAGGTATAATATTTTGTCAACTAATTCACATGCCACCCACATCTATCATAAACATATTAATATCAACATATATACTTTCATGTCAACAAAACAAAAAAACACAACCTCAAAGTGGTTTGTGTTGAGATCATCATCATTATCATTATCACTAGTTAATCATATTTGACTTCTCCTTTTCTTTTCAATTAATAAATTATATATTTGCCCCGGGTTTCACCGATTAAGAAAATATCCCAAGAAAACAAAAGATGTTGTTTGATTATTTTTGGGCCGTCATCTTTCAATACAATGCATTTGTATAAATTCATATTAATTGTTAGTGGAACATTTGATGACCTCTTACGTTAATTATTATTATTATTATACATGTGAGTCTTTGGTTTAAGTACAACCTCAGATCCATTAATACGAAGTCAACCCCCCATATAATCCCACATTTATTCACTGACGAGCCAAATTAAGTGGGTGAAAAGACGACACATACATGTGTGTATAAAATAATCAATTGCCACTGTAGATCTCTCAAATAATACTAAAGTACTCCTCCGGTCCTTAATATAAGACCCATTTAATTAATTTGATTAGATTAAGGAAGTTAGGTAAGTTGGTTAATTATAAGAAAAGTGACACATTTTTCCTAAAATACCATAATTATTTTTCTTAATACCCCATCTTCCTCTTCTATTTGATTATGGTTGAGGGAGTATTCATAAGGGTAATTTAGAGAATATTGATAAATATGAGAAATGGGTCTTATATTTAGGACCAAAACCAACTCAACAATTGGGTCTTATATTAATGACCGGAGGAGTAATATTTATTTTAATCCTAGATATAAGTCTCCAATCCACTTGATTTATCATATTTATTTATTTTTTTAAGACAATCCTTGTAATAATAGGAGTTTTAGCCAATATAGTTGATTAGCAAAGATATTTTAGGAAAGACAATGCTTATTTGTTACAAATAATTAACTTAACTAGTTTTTTTAATTTACTTACATTAGTCAACAAACGCTTATACTACCTGAGTCCTTAATATAAGATCTCATTTGACTTTTATTTCGATTTTAAATATAAAACTCCAATCTACTTTGTCTCTCATATTTATATATTTTTTTAAGATTGTCTTTCTAATAATAGTAGTTCTAACTAACAAAGTTTATTAATGAAGATATTTTAGAAAAGATAATATTTATTTATTACAAATAACTAACTTAACTTATTTTCTTAATCTCTTTAATTAGTCAACTAGCTCTTATATTTAAGACTCGAGGTAGCATTACAGATTGGAGATGGTACTAATGATTCTACGGTCTTACTTTGATGATTGTATAGGAGATATTTTGACCAGAGACTAACTTTTCTTAGTTATATGAAACACGCTTCATAATGTTGGCGAGGGATCATATGATCGGAAATGACTTTGAGTCAGTGTAGACAACGACAGCCACATAGAATCATATGCTATACAACATTCATTCGGTCACAGCTTTATTATAAACAAACAGATATTATCTGTTTTTACCCAATAAACCTCCGATTTTTTTTTTTGGCTAATAACCACAGATATTATTTGTTCAAGTTTACCGTGTAAGACAACTTTCTGCGCGTAAAATTAGAGTCCCTCCCCCCCCCCCCCAAATCTAATCTAGTAAGGCGAATCGATTTAATCCAAGTTCCTATATATCCTTTAATTTTTACTCTCAATTAACTTATTTTGATCCGTTTAATAAGGCGAATCGATTTAATATATATCATTAGAAATATACTTGCTATGCCCCCCATGTATATTATTGATTATCTAAAACCAATTTGCATGGATCTAAATTTTTTTTTATAAGTTTTTAATAAATTTTATTTTATAAACGGAGTTCACAGTTAACATAATGTTTTAATTATTAACTTAAACTGATTAGTTAATATTAAAAATTAATTTTCTAAATCAAAAGCATATCAATTTCAGAGAGTGATCTATTATAACTATATGAATGCTTTATTTGTAATTCTTATCTATGAGTAAATTAAAGAGAATTATATACGGTTCTCAAATAAGAAAATGAATGACCCATATATAAGTCTTAATATTTATAAATACAAGAATTTGACATGAATTAAGAAGTCTGATTCATGAGTAGGATTGAGAAAATGATTAAGTTATTTATTTGGGATTTGTTTATAATCCTCCATAAATTAATAATTAAACTGGCCATCGAATATATGTAGCTTGTTTGTTACGAGATAGTACTTATTTAGGGTTTAAGATAATTTCAAATAACTAGTAACTTGATTAAAAAAAATTAAAATTATAGTCCATACAAGAAGTAACAGTGAATAAGAAAATTAAAATCCACCTTTTATCCATGGTTCAGCAGGCAAAAGGATTGGACATGCTCATTAAAAGAGTGGATTTGACCCTAAAACACGTCGCGGCGCTAGAAGAGACATCTTTAAAAACCAAGGTCTCAGCTTGTAAACAACAAAATCCTCTTGTCCCAATTTAAGCTATTGTGCTGGATAGGGCTGTGGTCAAAGGTTAATTGCTATGCCTTTGAATTATAGGTGAGCCCAACTTTTTTCCTAATATTCATTCACAAAAATATATATATGTATGTATATATAAGATATGAAGTCCGATGTCATGTAAATGCAAAAGATTCCTTTTAAAAGAGTTACTTATATTTGAATTCGATAATCCATAATACTTAAATTAATTTGGTACAACTGGAAGCTAGATATTGTACTAAAAAAAGTGGGCATAGGAGGGTATGGCATGCATGGAGAACAGTAGTAAAAACTAACAAGTGTTGAAGCTATGAGTAGGGGTGGGCTATGCCCTGTGTGGTTGAAAGATGAGAAGGTAAGCTGTAAAGACCTAAAATGAGGGGACCCCATGATTTAAATGCAAAGAAATTGACAAGAAGGATACTTTCTGAGAAGTAAATCTCTCTCCCTCTTTCCATATATATGTGAATTAACTAAAGATGCATGCCAGCACCTTCTATGCCGCTAAAGGTGATGAGAATACAATAGGGCCATAGCAATTTCCAGAACATGCCCAAATGATCACTGGAAGAATCAAAAGTTGGATCTTTGATCTTTTCCCCCCACTTTCCATGATTCTTCCTTTTCATATTCTTTTTCATAAAACAAGCCCAAGCATTCATGAATGAGTGCCAACTGGGGGCAACCCCCAACTATTCCACCATTTTCCTTCTTCAGCAAGCAGCCCCATCAATCGCACCTCTTATTGCTGCCCCATTATCATAGTCCCATAAATACCAAAGAGAAATAATATCTTGAGATCTTTCTTTTACTTTAAAAAAATATCATTTGCTCTCTTTTAGTCCCTTGTTGTGATTCCCCCACGTTAAGCAAGAGGCATCCACTTTTATGGGTTATTTATTTATATTATAAAATATTCTTCCCGTCCTAAATGCAATACCCATTTTGTTGTGTCAATTATACTACAAAAAGGGCCTTACATTTAGAACCAAATGAGTAGAAAGGTATAATTTAACTAACAAATTATTAATTGAGATGTTAAGCAATCTTATCCCCATAAGAAAGAGAGCACAAGTTTGAATCCCAGGAAAAAAGCTTGTTAGGAGGATTTTAACATTAACGCTCTTGACCTAACAGAAATTAGTTTTAAACCTAACATGACTTGAGCATGCTGAGTTAAAAAAAAAAAAAGAAAGGTATAATTTAATAAAGTAAATAATACAATAAAATGATTCTAAAAGTGAATAGTAACATTCTGCCTTTCTTAAAAAAAAAAAAAAAAAAAGCAAGCACGCAACACTTAAATATATTACTAATTAATTTTTACAATAGAATAAAAATCATAGGAAAATCACATTTGGCCCAATAGCGAAATAAGAACTTTTTTTTTAATTATTTCTGTTTAATATTTAATATGCTTTTGTAATTATTATTTAACAATTTTTTTATTTTTTAAAGTAGAGATGCAAAATTTGTTTTCATTTTTAAAAATAGTTTTTATTTTATATTGTTATTCTTTTCAGTTTTATGACAAAACACTAGCTCTATGGTTCCGGTACTTGCAGAATTATCTCATAGGCCCCTTGCTTCGCAGGAGCACTAGGCAGGAAATAGAATTCATCAGCTGCCTTCAAGACTAATAATCAATATTAATAGATCATTGTAGTGCTTATAATACTTGAATGGATTAATATTATACTTTCTTTTCTTCTTTTTTTTTCAAATTTCACATATTTGTTCCGTTAGCTTTATGAATTTGGGGTACATAGCACAAGTAAAGCTTAGTCGGTCAACAATTTTTAGTTGATTAGCTCGCATGTCACGATTAAAATTTTCTCCACTGGTCACTTAATCTTTGAAAAGCTATTCTTGATACGATCCTGGGTCGTTAGTTTGGGCTTAAACGCACGAGGGTCGTTATCCGTACATGCAACGGCAAAATTCTCCCCTACTTGAGAAGTTCCAGATCAAACCAAGGACCCCAGAAGCAAGACGGCTGGGCCAATGCGCCTCATTTGATCACCAACAGGCCCAAGTGTCCTTAACCCGATGAAACAAAAGCGCTGCGAGGAACATAACGAGCTACCCCGCTCTCAGCCCCATCATTAGCAGACAGTGATGGTGACTGTGCATATTAAAGAATCTCGTACATAAATCCAGTATATATGTACAGAGTTTTATACATTATCATGTAAACAATGGATTACATGCCATCCTACTGCTGAGGTTCCCCACTATTTATCAGCTTATCTAACACCAGATTAAGGTCAACCGGTTGCTCATTCTCGGCCAGTTTTTTAACCGTTGCTTTCACAGCATTCCTCCGGAATCCCATTGCCACAGCATTTTCAACAATATCTTCAATTGACACATTGCTTTCAGTTCCACGAGAACTAGATGCCTCCTTCACATCCAAGGCCATTGGTAGTGCACGGGGCAGAGCTTTTGGAGTGGGAGAAAACGAGAGCGGAGGTTGTGAAGTTTTCGTGGCCAAACTCCAGTAGTCAGGGGGAGGCCTTGCAACATAATCACTTGCGTTTCCATTTCCGGGTTGTTGATGCAAAGGGGTCTTCCCAGTGGCAGACGGTAATACAGGGATGGGAAGGCAAGAATATTCAGGTGGCATGTAAGGTTGCTTTGGGGGTTGGTGATGCCCTTGATTAACAGAAGCGTGGAGAGTACTGTAGGGTGCCTGTGGATGAGGCAATTGAGACGATTCTGAAAATGATGAGTTCATATAAGGTCGATATTGTGTCACTGGTGGTTGAGTTAGACGCATACAGTGCTGGCGATTAGCAGAATCAAGAGTTGGCAGCTGTGGTCGGGTGCATGTTTGATATTGTTGAACAAAATTGGATTGGTTCTGCCCCAATTGTTGAAGAACTGCTGTTGCTGTATTTGCAGGTATTTGCAATGAATTTTGAGGGGAGCAAGGCGGAGCATAAGAAGGTAGATCAGAGAGTTTTTGTTGGCAAGCGGCAGGGCTTGGATGTGGTTGGCAATCCTGCGAATGGGCAGATGACACTTGTTGCTGAACCCCTTTATTCTGAGTATTCCTGTTCTGTTGTTTTGATTGTAAATCAACTCTAATTTGTTGAACCATTGCTAGCTGAAGCTGAACTTCCGCTATCTTTTGTTTATCTCTCAAGTCTTGAATGCCGCTTTGAACCTGCAATGGAGTACTAGCTATTTATTTTGAATTTAGAAGAGCGCAAGGTCTCAGATTGCTGAAAGATAAAGATAAAACTCATTCTGGAATCTCCAGTCATGGTGACTTGGCAAGGAAACTTCATTTGCAAAGAAGTCTTAATCTCTCTAAGGTGTCACAATATCCTTTGCCTACAACTCAATCTCACTTTATCAAGAGATCTGCGATTGGAAGAAACAAAGGTATTCACAGAGAAACTACAGAGTGAAACAATATGTTTGGGAGAGATCTTCCTTTACAACTTATCATCACAGGTGGGCTAGCGCAGTGCAACAAAAGAGGAATCAATACTTCAGAATAATCCAATTTAAAGGTTTAGTTCTCAAATCAAAAGCATCAATATTATGACCGAGTGGCTAATCTGATGCAAGAACGTCACTATTTCAAGGCAACTTCACCGGGCGACAGTAAAAAAAGTAGATGTTAGCATCCATTACATGATTCAAAATATCTTGAGGGATCGCATTCATACGAAGACGGTAATCTAACATACAGATGCCAAAGAAAGGACTACAAAGGAGAAAGCAGACAGCAAGGATGTTAGACACGATGTAACCCGCAGTTGAGACAAGACAACTGAAACTTTTTTTTTTTTTTTTTGTGTGCCTAGCATACAGAATCCAAAGAAAGGAATAGAAAGGAGAAAATAGACAGCAAGGATGTTAGACACAATATAACCCCCAGTTGAGAGAGGTTAAACCTTTTTCTTTCCTGCCTTTTTTCCTTTAACAGCGCACCAATGCAGTTCTTCCAATTCTCAAGTCCCAAAAATAATAGTTATAATTCAAGGTTATTCAACCCAGAGACCCATTAAGGCATCCCTTGGGAATCATTGCCATAGCAGGCTCAGTAATTATTTCAGAAGTGTAGACCGTGATCACTAATGCATACTTTGTGGTAAATTTACACACAAAAATCACTGAGGAAAATGAAGTCATGTATGATAAGCACCAACCCAGAACTCAAAATCCAGGGATCCCAATATTATCTCACTACCAAGGTCAATGCAATGACATATAGTGGAACGGCGAAAACTGTAAACCTCTTTTTCTGTGAGCAATCAAGAAGGGATAATTTATGAAGTAGAAGCTTAGACATCGATGCTACATAACACTAATGGCGAAGGGAGGGAAAACTGGCACGGCTATGGCCAATACTTTTCCCCCCCTTGGTATTGCATAGTGCTATATATTTTCAACCACCGCAATATATATATATATATATATATATGCAAACGTACTATATGTATGATTATCAATCCCAACCCTCGTTAGCTAAATTGGCTCCGTCCCACGCTCATTATGATAGTCACCACCTACGACATATAAACTAAAAGACCACACTGAATGAGTTTCTGTTCTTTCTAAGCAGTAAAATCCTATATCCAGGTTGTCTGTTCCATGAATCCAATGCACAGATCAATCCGATTAATACAGGTTCATCTTCCATAATTACACTGTCGGTGTTTTGACATTTAAGAACGAAGATCCTCCAATTATATAAATGCAGCTTATAGGAGGACCAGGCGACCAGCCAACTCATCAGTTAGAAAAGCACGAGGAATAAGAAAAATACTGCATTCTATACGCTCAGTACCTCTGTCATCATATCCTCCAGTTCTCTCAGCCTTCTCCCTGTTTTCCGGTGGTAGAACTCTGTTGAATCCTTCAAGTTAGCAATCGACCCCTCCAATTGATTGTTCCTATTCTCCATCTGAGTTATTTGCGCACTGATAACATGTGCAGCTCGTAGCAGACGACCAACATGCCCTTTCATTTTCCCGTCAATCATAGAAGCGATAACAGCAGCATAAGAAACCCCATCTTCCCTGCCACCAGCATCACCGCGTCTTCCTGTAACACCACTGCTGCTCTGTCCCGACGCAAAAATGCGGAGGTGAAAAAAAAGAAGAAGAGGGAAAGAAAATAAGATAACCAGACAAAGCAATTAAGATTAAGAGAAGAGGAAGGGAGTGAAATCTTCATAGGTACTTTGAGAGAAAAAGAGGAAGCGAGTGAGCCGGAGGATCGGAGGGGCGGAGTTGGCCGGAAGTCAACACCAGAGTGCAGGTGATCCTTAAACGCAACGAATTCATCGCTTTCATACCCCTCGGCATCGTCGGCATCTCCTCTGGCAACTCCAGGGCTTCCGGATTCGAAGGAGCTGTTAGATTCGGAACGAGCAAAATCTATCACCTTCTTTGCCATGATGCTTCAATCAATGACGGAGCGGACTGATGAGGGGAATCAGCAAATTTTTCCCTTTTACTCCGAAGCTAAGAGTTTATTGGCGAAGCAATTCTCACCAATTTTTTGGGCTAAGTTGAGAGCGGTGGGTTAAATTACTCACTCTTGATCATTTTGGCTGCTGATTTTCATTTTAGAAAATAAAATTAAGGTAACATTATTAAAATAAGATGAGGAGGGTGGATCATCGTAAATCTTCAAGGATTAGCTTTTCACTGCCTATATATGCTGACCAGAATCTAAAAGGCAAAGCTATAGTTGATACAATTTATTATAAATTACATGTTTTTGACTTTTTGCACTTGTAATGAATGAACCCGCGCCCCCAAAAAAACGCTGAAAAATTGTTGATACAAGGTCAACTTAGAATGAGTGGATTAACTAACTGGGCAAATGATCATTTCTACAATTATTTCTGTTTATTTGTAGTTTGAATGCATTGTCAGATGATTCATGACCTGTTTATTGTGGCTAGACTAATCAATTTTTGGTGCGTATGTTGTGGAATTGTTAATAAAAAAGTTAGAAATAGTAAAACTGCATCGGAGATACAAATCATTTCATACACTTGGGACATAGAATCAAGAATGAGCCCAAAAGTCCCCAATTGGGGGTTATTTGGGATCATCAAAATAAGTACTCTACAACAGACAATCCTGAAGAAGCCTCAGGCCAAGGAACATGGACCCGCACCATCATCTCCTCGTACTCAAAATCTGTGTCTTCCCCGTTTATTTTACAACTAATTGGCTTCTCTGATGCAAACATCCTCATTTCCCCACAACCTCTTAACTCTATTTTTACCAGTTTCTGGTGTTCCTCAATTTCCACGGATTGAATGGCGCCGCCAGAATTAAGCATGTTCACTAATCCAATAGGAGCAAATTGAACCAGTGTTCGAGGCAAAACTCTGACAGGAGAAACAGTGACAAGTTCAAAACTAAATGGGTCCAATGAAACTTCGAACCCCTCTGAATACTTCAAAACCTTCAACTTGTCTTCCTTCAACATATAAACAGCAAACACGTTACTTCCTTTATAATTAACAGGCCATTTTCCATTGCTCCATTCAATGTCTTTAGGACTTGCCAAACACGTCACTCTTTGTGAATACTCAGAGGCACTCTGGTTTCGCCTTGTTCTCGGACACCACCCTCCTCCTTGACAGTTAAATAAACCCAGAACTCCCGTACACTGTAATTTACATACAATTGCAGAATTAGGATACTGAAGTCCTATCAAATTAAGTAATTCTGATTTAAAAAAAGGGCGAACTTATCACATATATGCATTACTTACTTTGTTGAGATTCCAAATTTTGAGCATGGTTTTGCCATCATGGAGAGGGTCGTTGAACAAGCAGTCTCGGGTGGGGAGAGCATAATGCTGGCATCGCAAGATGGAGCCGTCGGGCAAGACCAGAGTCTTGAGCAAGTTGAAGTTGTGTTGGCCCACACAATCGCTCACATAAATGGGGCCACCAGAGATGGATCTGGAAGCAGCGTGGAACTCAGCACAGGGATGAGTGGACTGAAACATGTCCCAGTCAGGCTGCACAAAGTTGCCCATCCACAAGCTGTTGTACGCACAGTGCACCATGTGACAACCTTGGAGCCAATACGTGCCGTTTGGATCCCCCGATGGATCTGTGCACCAAAAATCATCCCCTGCGTCATCGTTTTACAATGCCACTGTGAGTCTCCAGTGGGAATTCTCAAAGAAGGGCAAATTGAGTAAGGAAAAGGTATTGAGTGGCTCAGTGAATATAATTACCAACACGGGCGAGTGATATGGCTTGTGTGCCAAGGAGAAAGAAGTCATTACAGTGCTCCATGCTGGCTATCACTCCGTTCCCGTTGAAATGCTTCTTCACTGAAGCTGTAAGTGCGTTGTAGTATGCTTTCGCCAGCTCAACCCGTCCCCCATATTCTTCTGACAACATCTCAAGCAACTGCAAAATCAATTGCATACCCCCCAGTTAGTCCTTTCTCAGATATATTACTACGTCCAGTTCTTAATATAAAACTAAATCTTGTATCAAGAACTGGAGGTATTACATTACAACAGTTCAAACTCTGATCAGATTTAATCATCCCGTAATTGATTCACACCACTTGCAAGTATGTACCAACGTGATTCAGATTCAGTATCATCATCTCAGTGATATAAATCTCTTGTCAGTTAACTTGCTTTTGTCGTCTCCTTCTTAACAGATTAATTAGTTAAAAGCTTATGGGACCAAACATGCTAATATATAGAAGCAACCAAATCTCAAACCCACCGACAAAATGACCCAAAAACAATGTCTAATTAACCAGCTACGTGCAATTCTCCACAATGAAACAGAAATGCACTGAAAGTGAGCCACTGGACTTTGTAAATTGGCAAACCTAAGCCTGTTTTTTTTTGGGTCAGAAAACCTAAGCATTAACACCATAATTAATCACTGGACTAGAGTCTGTGGATCTGGATGCTGATATGATAGGGCCTCTATACTCACCAGGTAATGCTTTCATGGAGGGACACTTGGCAAAAGAAGGGGACACTTGCAATGATAAAGCATATTGTGTGTGACACAATTGCCTTTCAATAATTCTCATAACCTGCAAATTACAACCACAGCAAGTCTATTCGCATGTTGTGTTCTTCCTATGACACCAGCACATTGCATATATAGCAAAACTATAGGATAATGGTATTTCTAAACAAATTAAGAAAAAAGAAATCCATGACGTCATAGGGATTATAGCCTCAAGCATATACGGTGGCTACGGACGTCCGAAGCCAGTGTTGTAAGAATGTGTAAATATAAATTATTATAGGGCCTACTTTGCTGGAAATTGGTTTGAAAACTCAAACAATCATGTGCATGTGGCCCCACAAATTATATATTGCAATGAGCTCACGAGTTAACCATTCCGAAAAAGGCAAAATATATATTCATGAATCATGCTTAGGTATGATTATTTTATTTTTAAAAGAACTGAACTTTTAATCCAACCGTCTGCGCATACCCGGTGTCAAGAAATATTATAGGGAGCGGGAAGAATTTTCCAGAAGACTTACATGTATGACATCCACTTTGACGCCGTCAATTCCCGCCGATTCCAGATGGGAGTGTAGCCCTTCGTACATCTGATGGACTATCTCCGGTGGGACCAGCCCGACACCGTTGTTCACAATCTTGTCCACCGCCAGATCCTCCATCGTCTTCTTCAATCCCTCCGACAACCTCGGAGCAACCACCTTAGCCTCCGGCATCCCCGGCACATTTGGTCTTATCCCACCCCAATACCCACACAGCGCGTGCCACACATACACATGCTCTATGCTCTTAAACTCCTCCTTTAGATCCCTCACAAACCCACCCATTCCCGTCTCGTAGGGTAACCGACGACCACGATAGTCCCTAAATTTGTAATTCTCTTGGAACTTAATCAGCCTACATGGCATTTGCTCACCTGCGGCCGTTCGATTCATCCCTTCTTGATCCGTTATAGGGTCGTCGTCGTGACAGATTGATTGCCAGCCATCGTCGATGAGTACCAAACCCGGAGGGCACCCTCCTTCCACTAAGCCTTTAACTCCCTCCCACACCCCTTTTGGGTGTACCTTCAAATAAAACGCGTCCCATGTACACCAACCAAACTTGTCTACGATGCCTGGTGGGGTCTTCTCTTCTAGAAGCCTGAATGTCCCTAAATGGACTCTGATCACTTTCATGGCTTCTTTGATCAAGCGGTAAGGGTCATCGCCGACGTGCATGTAGAGACAGCTTCTGAAGGTGGACCCACGGACACGTGTGGACCCGCTCTCGACGCAAATGTCCACGTTGTCGTTTAACCCCGGCTGAAGTGAAGCTCGGAAAGGACCTTCAATGATGGGAAGCAGCAAGACGTAAGGACGATCACCGGTGTCGCTTTTGTCCAGGATCATCATTTGGGTCTCGTGCTCGACGTCGTTTCCGCTGGTTCCAACCCAGTGGGTGGTCCACCAGACCTTGAATCTGAATATGCTCATGAACCGAATCCCTCTGAGCTTTCCGAGAGGAACCACGTGTCGGCTTCGGGGCTCTTCGGCAACGAAGCCCACGAAACAACCGACGGTGGCGGTGGCGGTTTTGTTGGAGGAGAAAGAAGGAGAAGGGGTGGCTATAATATTAGCAGGGACGTCGGTGAGAAATGGGCGGCCATTAGCGAGGAAAGTTGGTCCTTCCAAGGTTATGGACAAGGGAGTTTCACTTTCAGAATTAGCATCAACAAGGCTCAATAAGTCTAGTGCAGCAATTTTGGTTAAGCTTGGGGCCATGACAGAAACTCAAGTCACAGTACAGACCCAGTAATGTAGTGAATAGTTTATAAGTAGAATAGAAAGATCTGTAAAGAGAAAGCTGATACGGTTGGTGAGGCAGTTTGCGAAGAGGGCAGAGGAGGGTTTATATAGAAGAGAGGAAGAGGGGGGGCGGGGGCAGCGTCCTAGCTTGTTCTGAGGTTAGTGGAGCACCGTGGGGTTACTTTTTGGCACATTCTAGCGACAGCCATGACTGAAAACTAGCTGCCTGGTGTAAGGACATGTGAGTCGTTTGTACTGCATGTGTACACCGCTCGTTTTACCAAACATATAAAAATAATATGGACCAAAAAAAAAATATATAAAAATAATATCTTTTTTTAATAAAGAGTAATAATTAACAATATCACTTAACACATTAACAATTGTGCTACCGATCTAATTTGTGGTCTTATATGTAAGCCAAGCTTTATTTCTCTTATTGCCCACTGGTTACAACCGGGATATATTATATAAGTTTTGATTTGATGTACTAAAAAACAATAATGATAATAGAACTAGTTTTAATGGTATAGATTTAAATTTGTAACTAATAATTTTTTAAATTAAAAATATATTTTTAAAAAAATTTTATTTAAGAGATTACATTTATTTTTTATTATATACTTATTACAAAAAAAAATTTTTTAAAATAAAAAATTTTAAAATTTAATTATTAACTATTTATAGTAAATTTAAACAACAATCAAATATGATGTGACATTGTGATTTGTATGCAATGTGCTTTTTCATATTTCGTCATATAGATCCATGAAACCATATTTAAAAAAGAATTACCCCTCTCATTGCAAATCCAAAACTTAAATTAGTTATTTGTAAAGAAGAATGTGGTTTGGATAATATCTATGTTTTTAATTATTTAAATTGAAAATTAACTAGCACACGCTTAATCCAATTTTTACCAACACGCATATATTCCATCAACTTTTTTCTGACCTTCATATCTTCTACCAACTTCCTGCAAGTAGTAAAAGTGATAAGAATATAGACTGTCCAGATGAAGAGAAACAAAATATAATGCAAAGTGTGAATGACTCAACACGAAACTCCAGAGAATTCCGTCCATCCTGTTAGACATTTTTTAATATTTCATTGATCCCTTGCCAAGCAACGGGGACCTCCAAAAGTGGAGAATGAAAAAAATCAGTCTTATTGAACAAGCTTTGACCATTGAAAATTAAAGGAACTGCAAATGATTGGTTCTGTTCTTAAATATGATTTACTTATTTTCTAAATAAATTAAAGTGTACTATTTTCCTTTTGCCATAAATGAGTATCCTACGTAGTACGTATCACTTATAAATTTGCAAATTTTTCAATATAATCTAGATTCATAGAGTTGCACACTTGCACTCCCCAATCTACAGTGTACTTTGTTTTTTAAGGCATTAATTATAAATAACTCTTTTCAGTGGAAATTCAAGCATTTGCTCATGAGAGACCAACACTTCGTGGTTTTTTTTTTTTTTGTCTATAGGTATAGATTTTTTTTTATCAAAAACAATCATGTTCGGGCATTGTCAGTTACTAAATATAAGTATCTTTCTAAATGAATTATTACATCATATTATGAGAAATTAGTTATTTCTGTTAGACCTGACCTCATTACTAACCTTTCATGTTGTTAACTCGCTCCTTTCTCCTTCCACGCCCAAATTTTCAGGTGGGGTTCGGTAATCATTCAGTGAGGTTTCTGGACGGATCGTGGGTCTTTCTGGATGTTTCCTGAGCTTTGCCCTGGGCCCAACGCTTGCTTTTAACCATTTCCTTTTATTTACTGGCTAATGCGTGGGCCATCCCTTTCTGACTTCTATCTTGTCGAATTTTAATTAGAACCACTCATTTTCATTCGTTGAAAGGTCTTTTTTTATTTGGTTAAAGGAGTAAACTATCTCTTCATTGAATTAATTCAGCTACAATGAAAAACTATAAAACACAGCCACACAGGCCTGTATATATTCACCATATAGTCCTAGCCATCCTCTTATGAACAGATTTTATTTGCAAGACTTTAGTGTCAAAATTAACCTCCCATGTAAAATTTATAAGAAACCATACCGTCCAACTTTCAATTTCAAACCACGAGACTCACATCATAGCTTGTGCAAAGCATAAAACCCACAGTTGTGTTTGAATTTATAGTGATATTCATGTAAACTTTTGGAAGAAAGCGCGTATGCGAATGATTATGAGATAATTATGTGCACACAACATAATATTTAAAAGAACTTGTAATGATTTTGTCATCGTTTAACTTGTTACTCTTTCAGTTTTAAATATAAAACTCATTAATTACACTATAAAATAAGTTTTATATTTAATAAAAAATAAATTATAATTTGTTAAAATTTTTATATTGTATATTTATCATATAAAAAATGGTCTTTGATGATTGTCATTTTAGTATTCACGAATTTTTCTATGATACCTTATTATACGTTTTAAAAATGTTTAGTGACATAAAAATTTATCCTATATGTACAGATGCCATGTTTCGATGCTTCTTCCTGAGGTACAACTCTATCTGTCCAATTCTTTATTTTTATTTTTTTTTGGACCAGCTGTCCAATTCTTTATTGTCCTTTAGTCTCCGGCAAACTGTCATTAGCTTCTTTTAATGATGTCTTATTATAGTTGATGATAATTTCCTTTGATTAAATTAAGCAGAGTTAGGAGTATGTTCTGCCGCCAGAAACTTCTACTGAATTGTGGAAGGCGTACTTCGCAGGAAGAACATACTTGAAGAAAATATGTATCCGTCAACTTAGGGAACAATTTTCACATATTCATCTATATCTATCACAATATTTTTTTATATAGAAAATATTCAATATCTGGCCTGATTTTGAAGCCTGATTTTCTGTTGTAGTAACATAAGCTCGTTTATATTGAAAACCTTTTTTAAAAAAAAAAAAAACTGTATATCTATTAATCACAAAGCAGAAAACAGGGGCTTCTTCTATCAACATGCATCTCACGTTAAGAAAGATAGAATTTGATCATAGATACAATAATTCCCTTCCATCCTATGTAATACTACCTCCGGTCTTTAATATAAGACTTTATTTGACTTTTATTTTGATACTAAATATAAAATCTCAATCCACTTTGTCTCTCATATTTATGTATTTTTTCTCAAGATAGCTTTTTTAACAATGATAATTCTAGTTAATACACTTGATTAGTAAGGATATTTTAAGAAAGACTGCACTTATTTATTACAAATAACTAACTTAACTTATTTTTTTAATCTCTTCAAATTAGTCAACTAGCTTTTATAATTAGGACCGGAGGTAGTAACTTGGTAAAGTGATCAGCCATAAAATTGTTTTTTTTTTTATAAGTGTAGTTAACCGTCGCCGGCGAATCCATTAAAAACCTTTTATTGATGGACTAATTTCAAGTACAATTTCTCATTTTACAGTGGAATTACTTAATAAAAAATATAGTATATGCAGTATATAATTCTAAAATTTAACTATGTGATACTAAATTACAAAAAAAATATAAATAACGTATTACATGACATAAATAATATGATTTTAATTTGTTTTAACATGTAAAAATGTATTATTTTATGTGGAAAATGTTTTTGCTTTTGCTGAAGGAAAAACTGGTTAATAAGGATATCAAAATCAGACTTAAAATTTCAACTTACGGAAAAAAATACGAGCAAAAAATTAGATAATTACGTCACAGGGGAATCAATAACAGAAAATATACAAAAATGGATGGGAATAGGATTCATTTTTTCCCTAAATATATTGGCTGAATTTTCTCGCCTTGTATTTTTTTTTTTAAAGTTGTATTATAGGCATTTAATTTCATATTTTATATTTATTTTATTATTTTTAATTTGGCAAAAATTAAATGAAAATTGATTGCTATTGCCACCTTGGTGTGTTAGCTGAACTGGATCAAGCTAACATAGTTTGATATTCAAGGTTTTAGTCCAGGTAAAGCCACTCATTCTTAACTCATCAACGGGTCACGTTAGGACTCTCAATGTTAAATGCCAGATTTAGGATAACTGGAAAGATTATTATTAAACACTCCTTCATGGATCGTGGTCAGATTCTATTTCTGATACATAGGATCTTTGTAAAGAGGCAAATTTAGAGCATACTCAGAATCTCTGATGACAGAAGAAAAACATTATAAGTGAGGCTTTCAGAAGAAGAGAGAAAAAATACTGGAACCATAAATTGGGCCACACGTTATCATCATAAATTAGTAATAAAGCAATCCGAGATTATTTGGGCTGGGCCGAGGAGAACTATCGAGGTCATGTCGGCTGTGGGCGCCTATCGATCGCTCCTGAGCCTGTCGTCTCACAGTCGCCCGACCATTACGTCGTTGTGATGAAATATTGAACAAATCGGTTGTCGGAAGTAGCGAATAAAGAGTCCAAGTTATGGAGTCTGATCATCCTGAGAATCTTCAAAACAACAATGATTCGGTCTTTGTTTGGGATGAGAATTCTCAGCTCTACTTCCATGCCAGGTTTTCTTTGAATTTCGAACATTTGTCTGTTATTATTTTTGTGTCTGTTGATTCGGTATTCCGTATATTCCTAGTTATCTTGCAAGCACAAGGATGTTCAGGTTTCGTAGAACTCGTATGAAATGCCATTTAGGATGCTTTAGTTATTTATATGGTCATTTACAACTGCAGAACGATTGTTTGATTCTGTACTGGTGTTTAATCCCGTCAAGTTGTTAATTTAGCTATTTTCAAAGTTTCGATAAGGTTAACGTCAGGAGCAGAATTCCTTTTCCCCCCTTGTGTTTCATTCTAGCTTCACAATCACAATCAATGTTTCGTTCAGCTCAAATGCTCAATTTTCAACATCGAGGATGTGGAAATTACAAAATTGACCAGAAGATTTGTTACTGTGCTTTTCGTATTAATATATGGCAATTAATCTTCTCCTCTTTTTTTTTTTTTTTTGGGTTCTTTGGGGA